CTTGATATGAAATGAATGCACATATAAACACAACAAAACCTAAACTCCATCATGGATAATCCGGAGTGTCGGTGACTGGGAATTGAGACACGTTCCGTCACTCGGAGTACGAAACGTACCTCGTTTCCCATGCTCAGGCTAACTCCTATCCCAAGCACAATGCAATATGCATGACATGCATGGATGCAACTAATATACAACCTAGCATGCACAATGCTATGAAATGGCATACACGATGCACGAGATAACATGGCATACACAATGCGCTAAAATACAACCTAGCATACGCAATGCTATGAAATGAAATGGCATACACAATGCACAATGGACTTACACCAACATGAGTGGGCCTCAGCCACACTCACATAAGAGGCCATCAGATTAAAATGAGACAACTCGGAATGCGTGCACGCGTGCACGCAAACCGAGGACCGATCCTAAGGCACAAAATGCCACTCTAACAAGACATGGCAAAACATGGAATATGGCATACTAGCATGCAAATTTCAGTACTAAAATATGACCCAAAACAGTCCCGAATCATGGCGATATAGCACCCGATGCATGAAATGGTCCCGAAATGCAAGATTAAGCACATGAAATGACTTGTAGCTACCTCAAGCATGCATTATTTGCTTATGACATGTGAAGACAGATTCAAGGCAGACCTAAAATAAGCATGTTTGCAGTTCTAAGCAAGGCCAAACAGTAAACACAAATAGGGAAAAACTAGCATGCAAAAATGGCCCCAAATATGAGATAAAGAAGCAAGTCATGGCTTCCGGCTCTAAAAAGATGAGGGCCCTTCAACAATGTTGAAGAGGGGCCCAAAATATGACCTTTTACAGTTTATGGAAAACCAAAAAAGCCAACACAAGTATGACTAAGCTCTCATGCAAGAAATGGGCCAAAAGAGGGACAAAGAAGCAAGTGGTGGTTTCTGGCCTCAAACACAAAGGTGCCCTTCAACAATGTTGAAGAGGGGCCAAAAATAATGCACTTTACAGTTGATGGCCGGACCCAAAACAGTATGCATGCAAGCCTAAAATACTACACAAAATAAGGCCAAAAAGAGAGATATCATACAAAGTATAAAAAGGATGCCTCAAACAATGAAATACCCTCAATAAAACATGAAGAGGGGGTCAAAATAAGGTCATTTTCAGTTCGGACCAGGGTCCAAAAACAGAAGAAAAAGAGGCTAACAAATCATGCAAAAATATGGCCAAAAGAGAAATATAAAGGCAAGTGATAAATAAAAGCCTCAAACAGCAATGAGCTCTTCAACAATGTTGAATAAGGGCTCAAAATAAGCTACTTTTCAGTTCATGACAGAGCTCAAAACAGTTTATACATAGGTCAAAAATACTACACAAGGAATAGGCATACAAGAGGGATAATGAAGCAAGTGCAACAAGGAGGCCTCAAACAGTGAGAGGCCCTTAAACAAACATGAAAAATGACTCAAAATAAGCCTAGTTCCAGTTAGGTTCGGAGCCCAAAACAGCAAGCAAGTATGACTTATAAGTGAATCAAGAAAAGGCTAGAAAAGGGAAAATGGAGGCTCACCCTTGAAGACTTGTCTTTGGCAGCTCCTTGGCTTGAGTTGCAGCACTCCTAGGCTCTAGAAAACAACTTCAAATGGCTGCAATGGAGGTTGGAGGTATGGTGCTAGGTGGTGGTGTAGAGAAGGGTGTTGGACTTGAGAGGTTTTCAGCTTGGGAGTATAGAGAAAGAGAGATACAAGGCAAGGGCTTAGGGGGGAAGTTTTTTAACACTAATAACAGAGCTAGAGCCCTTGTTATAAAGGCAAAAAGGGGGGGGGAAAGTGGGGAAAAATGGAGGGAAAACAAACCAAGTTTCCCTCCAAAATGCAGCCCCCCGGATACAGAATCTGGGGGGAAAAAGAGGCTGTATCTGCACTGTAGATGATGTAAGGATTCTGGCCGGCCAGTTATTGGGACTGCAGGTGGCCGGCCGACTACCTCCCATGGTCGGCCGGCCAAGGGTCAAAAGGTTCAAGTGAATTAGTGGCCGGCCACCACAGAAAGAGAGCCTCTGATGTGTGCACAACACAACCCTGTGGTCAAACACTGGACAAAGTGACCCAGAAGAGAGAACAACCCATTTTTCAAAGGGGTTCAAAAGGGTCAACAACAATTACTGGCCGGCCACCAAATATTGGTGGCCTCCTAGATGTGTACGTCACAAATATGGGGTTTAGGGTGCAAGGAAATGGCCCAAGGGTGGTCAACATTGGCTTTGAAGTGAGGAAATTTGGGCGACGGGGGGCGATGAAGGGATAAAGTTGGCTGACAGAACAATTACTGGCCTCCCACCCTTTTACGACCTTCTTACCAATGAAACAGAGGTCCCTGCCAAAAATGAACCCAAACCGATGCAGAATGAAGGTTCGGGGGCCGAAACGCGCAGCCCGAGGCCCCGAAAACTGGCTGTTAGGCACCGAGAGTGGTGTTCGACCACGAAGTCGGTCTCTCGGACCACAGTGTCCCTCAAAAGGGAGCAAATAAGAAGTATGCCAAAAACCGGAGCAAATGGAGGTGGTTAAGCGGTCCCGAACCGAGGCACACGGTCAACGGCTCCGAAAAATTAGAAACCGGACTCCAAACGGGCAGAATGGCCTACGACCACAAAACTTAGCCTACGGCCACTGAGAGATGATCTACGAGACCTCTCCCTCCCTTCGCGAAGAGAAAATAGAGAAAACAGAGCCTGATTCGCAAACCGAGGCAAAGCATGACAGAGTCCGGAAGTCCGGAGGCAAGGCTCGCAGCCGAGACTCTGAAACTTTTGAACGAGCACAATATGCAACATCACCAAGCGCTCAATCGGTGACGTCTGAATCTTAAGGTCGGTCAAAAATGGGGTGTCTACAGGTGTTGGCACTGGGCTCCAATGAAATGGCTGAGGAAGGAGTCGTTGAGATGCTGGAAAGTGGAGACAGAGTCCGCTGGTAACTGGCTGAACCACAGTCAAGCTGACCCCTTCAATGTCACGGGGAAAGCCCGACACATGATCTCGTCGGGGAAGGCATGGAGGATAATGAGGGTACGGTAGGTCTCCAGATGGTCGACTGGGTCCGTCGTACCGTCAAAGGAGTCAATGGTGGGCATTTTGAACATGGCGGGCAAAGGTTTGTCCCGGATGGAGGCAACAAATGGTGAATTTACAGTGGCAGAGGGTTTATGCTAAATGTTCTACATGACCCCTTGGAGTTGGAGCTTCATTGCTCGGAGCTCAGCGTCCCAGAGGGGAATGTGGTCACCATGGTCAGTTAATGGAGGTTGGACGCTACTGGCTTCCCCTTCAGGGGCTGGTGCTACGACCGACGGATGTGGGGGTGGTGGTGGTGGATTTATATGTGGGTGAAGAGGTTGCAAACCTTCCAAGTTGGGCGGATGGAGTTGCGGAGCAGTATGGCTCGGGGCTCTTTCTTGGTTGGGCGGAATATCTGCAGGTGGTGGAGGAGGCATCGGAAGGTTTCTTTGGAATAAAGCATTTATCAGGGCCTGATTTTGCTCGACCATGCGGTTAATACTGTTGGTAAGCTCGATGAAATATTGCGGTGGGTTGTTTGGACTGGGGGGGTCGGCCTGATGGTCGGCAGCTTTATTGTGAGAAGGCATGGATCTAGTCGTGACCATACACTTTGACGGGTAGGAGGAAAAGGTTGTTGGAACGGGGTCTCCGGCGACAGTGAACACAACAGGCGCGAGGAGCAAAGCGTTTCTACAAACGGCGCCAACTGATGATACAGTTTATCCCATTGAATGGAGCGAACTGGTCCGAGCTCCTCAAGCCCAAGTCCAAATGATCAAGCCCACCGGATATCCTGCAAACAAGTTCCACGAGGAACGAGATAGTCCCCCAGTGAACCCTCCGACAAGCAAGTTAGGAAGAGAAGT